TCACTGGTCTCAGTTTTACCCTATTTAAACGCTTCAATGTGTTTGTCGCAAACTATGAGTTTACCAAGTCTGAAGCCCTTAAAACTCGTCCATTTTTCCTTCTGTTCTGTGTGGCCCTATTTTGAGAGGAGTCCTGGGCCTATTAATTCGTCTCTCAGACCCTCTCCTAGCTAGATTGTCTGCTTGTTCACTACCCAAAATTTCTTTTTAACCTTTAACCTTTTACGTTTGCATACGGTAAATTTTCTTTTAGAATAAAGTGATCACAGACAATACAGAATTTAATAAAGAACTTTCCACAGACGACATATTATACTACAGCAAAATTATTATAGTAAAGAGTGTTTTTATCTATCTTTGCCTAACTAATGTTTTCGTTTTACTAATCTTTACAGTGAGATAATTCCCCCTCCTCAGTGTATTTAACTTAATCTGGGCATAATGCATGTAATAAAACGAAAATCACCAAATAGGAGGACAATTTCAATTCAAGAATCTCCACGATCGGGAAAATACTGAAATACTGCGGACGATAATGTCTGCTATAAAACAGGAGAACAGTAATGGGCTTAAGATGACTCCCTGCATGACCACCTCGGAGATCTTATCTAGATTGTTATTATTCAGTACATATAATTTTCCATGAGGCATAGCGTCGGACGTTTTACAGCAGTCCAATGAAGCATCAAAGATAAAGTCAACCAAATCTAAACAGATATTGGTTTTTTGGAGATCAGGGTTGTGGTCTTGTTAACAATGAATTACTATTATAACTTTGCGAAGCTTTCGATCTTCTATTTGATCTTCATCAGTGCATGTTACAATGTCAATACTTCAAAACAATTACATTTAATCTTTTAATTTTAAAAGACAAAAATATAATAAATAAATGGCAGCTACATGTGTGAGAAAATGTTTTATTAAATGAAAACGTTTATAACTAGCGCTGATGATGATTAAACAAAATATCGAAAGATTGGCAAAGTTATAATAGTAATTCATTGTTAAAAAGACCACATCCCTAATCTCCATAACATCAATATCGAAGATAAGTAAGTCTTCAGAATAAAAATATTACTGATAAATCTTTACATACGTTTAATTAATGAAGTATCATTGATTTTTTGTGTTTTCAAATTTTCCGTCCTTTACCCGGAGTTTCTGTACTTTTGATGAAAATCGACACCGACATCATCATTCTTCACTGTCAATCCAACTTGTTTTGAATGATATTGGGTTGATCTAAACAAGGACTTTTTTTTTCAAAATAGTGCCAAATCCACTGTCAGCCAGTGGCTTTTTCACTGGACAGGACGGTCAATCCCTTCGAATCGTTGTCCGTGTTAGGGCCAGGGCTGAAGAAAGCACGTCCCTTGCCAAATATGTGCCCATCTATTTAGAGGAAAGTACTTATCTTGGCTCACGTCGAATCGGTTCCAATAAGTCTAATGGGCTCAAATAGTCCGGGTATGGAAAAGAAAATCACAGATACAAGTCAATATTATCTACTTTCTTATAATTACATTTTTTTCTCGAGTCAGTAGTGCAATATATTAATAATAATATAAAGCATGAATTTATCATTAATAAACAATTATTTATAAATATACTTGATTGAACAATGCAAGTAATGCTTTTTGAATTGAATATAATTATTGTTCTAGAGGACTTTTGAAGTACCCCTCCGTTCTGCTAAAGCGAGGGCTTTGCTCGTAAATTATAGTGGCTAGACTGTCTTCTTGGCAGCTGGGAATTCGACTTGAGTGCTCATTTACACATTAATATTGCACGCGATGTAGATATCATACGAGTAGGAGATGAAATTAATGAACATTAATTATTGTTTATGACGACCCGGATCCAAAGAGTCACAAATTTTCTCTATATTTCCGTTATAAGAACTAGATATTAAATAAAATTAGCTTCTTTCATATTGCCCTGTATGTGAATTACAACATAATTTTCTGAGTAGGGCTGGGAATCTGTAGTGTAAGCGAGTGTCCTATATAAGAGGGGCAATATGGTCATAATGATTTTAACTCAACTTTTACAGTCCCTTCCAAGTGGCAATAGATAATAGAAAACTTTAGAAGAAAGGTAACTGTAAGTTTCAGCAATGGGCTCTAATATGGTACACAGTTGAATGGAAGATGGAACAGGGGGTAGGTGTAGGGATAAAAACGCAGAACTGCTCTCTAACAAAGGACCTTGCACAAATCCCAACCATTTTCCAAGCTGAGGTCCATACAATACAACTCTGTCACAAGGGTTAATAAAAATATGAAAGATACACAAATTTACATACTCTCAGGCAATACTCTATAAAACCATTAAATTCTTTCAACTTCAAACTTGTCTAAGAGTGACTAAATTGCCTAATGGCACTAGGAAAACAAACAAGGTTACCTTAAAGTGGGATCCCGGGAATGAAGGTATAGACCAACTAACCAAAAAAGGGGCAGACCTTTCCCCCATTTCAAGGCCAGAACCAATATTAGGTGCGCCGGAATGGGTGCTGCTTATGTCGGGAAAAAATAGCTTGAGAAAGAGAGACTCAATAAATGTACAAAAGTATCAAGTATGAGGCAAGCTCAGAGATGTATAAATATCTCAAAAAGGAATGCGAAGGAAGTCATCTCTCCCAGCAAGCAGGATTTTTGGAAATAATTGGTCTCTATACTGGCCAATGACCTCTTAACTAACACCTAAAGAATAGCAAGCAAAGCAGAGAATGCTGACTCAGTCAGGAGGAACCAGAGTTATCGGCACATATCCCTTGAGAATGTGAAGCATTAGCCCGGTTACGGTACGCCACTTCGGTAAAGCAATTCTCACACCAAAAGAGGAAAGTATATAGGAAAACTTATAGGAAAGACTGCACATTCCCACAATAGATCTCTTCGACAATAGGTCACAGTCGGAGAAAAAAAATTTTAAATCCTTATTCCACCTTCCAGGAACCTAAAAAAAATCATTTATTCCGGTTACATTTTTACAAAGCCATTGTACAAAGCTTCTGATAATCATTTCTAACGTCTTTAAACGTCTTCATACTGATTAGGTTGGTTTGTTGGTAAAAGGTTATTATCATCGGGTTCCTTAAAAGGTTTTAGTAAATAATTTATTTTTTATAGAAAATACGTATTACAACTTTGATCATTTATGATTTTTTCCCCGTCACAATATTGACACTGTTGCCGGCAGTGCACTCGGAGGACACAGGTGCTTAGTCTTCTTGTAAAATGTGAACTTTCCAAGGTGTGGTTATAATTTATAGGATTCCACAATAGATTTATTATTTAAAAATCCTTATTCAACCACCAGACCTAGGGTGTTTCTCCACTAAGTATCACTCCTTACTTGATCCATTCGGCTGTAGCTCATTTTTTGAGTTACCATATCTAATATAACTCAGTTTCAGAGCTGCTCGCTTACGTTTGCCTTTCTTTTTTTAAGGCAAATGTTGAAAATTCCCATAGGAAAAACGTTAGGATATAAATGTAACAGAAAAACACAATAACTAAATATTTAACTTCTTCTTTGATATCCCAAGAAGTCGTCTCCAATGTCAATTCAACACAGGGAAACTCTGACATCCCCACTTAGTTTTAGTTGAAACATCTTTTTTAAGCCTGTACAAATTTCTACTTGAGCAGTGACATGTGACAAGTACATGTTTGTTGCGAAAAACATTTTTTAAATTATAGAACAATCGATAATTAATAAATGCAATGCTGTGCACATATGTGAGCTAAGGTGAGAAAAAGTTTACACGGAAAACCAATTGGAAACAGCTTTTCTTTCATTACATTATGTTCCAGCCAATGTCAACAAATTTTTATTTATCACAATTTTGGTAAAGTAGATTTGAACGAGGTCTTGAATGTAACGTAGTAATGTAATAAACTTTCTAATTATTTAAATTTTTCATTTGATTGATTTAATAATTGGAAAAACATTCTTATATTTAACGTATTATTAAAAGCGATTTCTTTACGAGTACGATGTCCAAATTAAATATTTTCTAAAGACATCGCCGTTTTGTTTTTTTTTTAGTTAAAATAGAAAATATAATTTAGAAATTGGTTGAAAATAGGCGGAGAATGAAAGAAACTTCGCTTAATCGTTTTATTGCTGAGAGAAGGCACAGAGCAACTCTCCATGGGTTTAAGGTCAAAACACCTCGGATGTGCAAGAAGGATTAACTCGTGTTTACAGTTTACACAAAAGCTTAGAAGGACAGTTGACGGGAAAGTTTCATCGTGGGTTGTAGTTCAACGCCAACTGAGCGATTTAGTTTTAGTTTTTTTGCGTTTTCGTGTCATTTTTTTTCTCCTTTAGAGACGACGTAGCGAGTATTCGAAGATGGACTATTTCGCGGACATCCATCCTGAGTTGATGCCTGGGAAGAACAACATCTCGCCGAGCTTTGTAAGTGAGTCGCGATTCTTCCGTTGAGGTTTGTGTCTGGCCAAATCTTTCTGACTCTGAGGTGTATCTAAACGTGCATGTAGAGCGTGTGGGGAAGGAAGAGAAGGAAGGAAGCTGCTGTTCTTTCTATTCAATCTACGAACCTGATTCTCCCATTAAAGCTCACGTGGTCTTTATAGGGATAAGGGTCGAGGTAAGGGCGCGCTCCTTCTAGATACAAAGTCTTTTCGGTAAAATAGATAACACGAGTGTTACGAGGCAGCTGCTATCGCAGCCACTATTGATTAGTGAGGCCCTCTTCCACCCTCCTCCGGCCTTCACCACCCTCTCTCGAGCTACCTGGAAAATAGTCCCGACATATACCAAGATATCTCTGCACATACATTATTACATTTTTTCCCTTTTCGGCCGGCGATTAGGTCGCATTTTATCGAGATGTTTTCCGTGATATCCGCTCAGGGTGGTTTCTTATTTTTTGATGGGATAAATCGTTATTGTCCGGGGCCAAGTTAGTTGTTTCGGTACCCGTCCGAGCGCTGATCCCCGTACTCCGAAAGAGAATCCCTAGTAATGCCATTTAGTTGCCGCACACTCTGAAACCAACTTGTGTTTTGTTTATAGTAGTTCAGCACAAGTTTACATTTCTTTATAAATCTTCGATTGTGTTTTGCTCCTAATCTGCAGTATCATAATTTTTCCGCCAAATTACCACCATCAAACAGTGAGTATTTTTGCCCTTCAGAGGGAATTTTTGCCGTGATTTTAGGCACGTTTTTTTCTTTTCCTGATAACGTATCTTTCATATTCATGTGTCAAAATTAGAGTTGTTTTTTTTCGTCACCGCTTTCCGGTTTGTGACCGCCATCGGCGCCTTCCTCCTTCCGTTACGACCGCGTCCCAACCGAAAGAAAATCGCCGGAATTTCAAACGTGCGCTTTGTCACGTCAACTTATCACTAGACCGGCTTGTTAAAAAAAAAGCAAAAAACAAACCAGAAACTATAACAAAAACCTATTCTTCCAGTTCAGCTTTGCCTGGAATTAAATCAAATTTATCACAAGAAAAGAAAATGCCGATGCTCTTCCGTCGTCAAGGTGATTTTAACAACACCCTTTCTTATCTCTCACCATCGCTTATTTGACTACTTTTATCGATTTACTCTATTTGCAGAACACTGAATATCAATGCGAATTTTTAAAAAAAGTCAAGATGACGTGATAATTTCCATGGCGTCTACAATATGTTTTCTTTTTGATTAAAACTGAATTCGTTTGTATATGTATATATACATATATATTTTTTTACATTATTATAAAATCGTGTGGAATATTTTTAAAATCGGTGTACAACATTGTCTATCCAGACTAATAAGTCGTCTTAATTATACAATAAACAGTTTGGTAAGCCACCGCCGTATTCGCCCTCGCCCACCGTTGAAGTCTTCCTTCCGGGGGGGGGATTCAATTTTCATTTTTGCCCTTTAAATAAATATTTCAAGCGTCGGCTTTTTGCGTCCCTCTATTAGATTTCGCCAATTTTCGAAATTTTGCCGATTCCACATTGGACTCAGTGTGACAATCAGCTATTTCGGTCCTTATAGGGAGCATGCATGTCAAAAATTCGGCAGTTTATTCTTTCTGTTTTTTTTTTTGTTTCTTTTAAATTTATTTGTATTTTAATTTTGTGTACATGCCTATTTAATTTATTGTGTTCGTTATTTAGATATTTTACTTGTTGATATGTTTTGTTGTGTTGTGTTTACTGTTACCAATGGATTCTTTAATTTTTTTCAGTAATATTTTAATTGTATTCTAGATTTTAGTCAGTTTGTCATCTTTTGGGTTGGAGTTTTATTTATTTATTTTTTTTATTGTCTTTTTACTCTTTCGGAGGAGGTTTCGGTTAAAAAACCGGTTGATAAGGTATGATTCGAATGGGCTCCGATGGGAGCGGCTGCACGCGATTTCCACCAGGAGTCGAAGGCGGGCCTTCCGCGTCTTCGGCCGTTTGACTTCAGACGTCCAAAGATCGGAAATCATCGAAGGACCTTCGTCCGAGTGAATGGCGAAGGGTGAAAGGTATCGAGCGAGTCGGTCCCCTACTCTCGGCTACACTAATACCCCCGTCTATTGATTTTTATGCGTCAGACGTAGGCCCCTCCCACCGACACATACCCCCATTCACTCTGGAAACGGCGGACCCCTAGAGGAGATTCGCCTGGAGAAAAATTGCCGCCCTCTGAAACACGCGCCTTCTATCGTATGAAATCGGTTTTTTCTCTTTCTCTCTCTCCCTCTCTTCCAATCTTGACCGTTCTTTCAGACCGTCCCTGGCGAGCCTTAACCCCCGGAACCCTCTGCAGGAGGGCGGATGTCGGACCTTCCACCCCGGCCGCATGGGTGATGATCTGTCGCCCATAAAAGTGTCCAAAATTAATATTCAAGGCCCAACAACGCAAAACAAATCAACCCCAAATATAATTTTGAAAATTTCATATCAACGGTTTTTCCTGATAAATAAAATTTAAAAAACAACATAAAACATAAAGAAAATAAACTAAAATATTTGGATCCATTTTTTAAATCATAAGTTGGATCCCTATTGTTATTGCGAGCGATTTGAGAACTTTGAGTTCGCTCCTCTATTTTCTTTTAAATCTTACTTTTCAATGATTCCTTTTTAAAATATCCATCCATATAAAATTTAAACCAATATTGCAGTCTATTTTAGTGTTTTGTTGGTTTTATACAAAATTCCAAAGGAGGTAATGTTAGGGATGGACCGACTATGCCTTTGAATTATTTTTAATCATTTTTGTATTTTATTTATTCCTTAGATTGTCCAAAATCCTACTTTAAAAGTAAATAACCTACAAAAACTTAGATGTCCGTACGGTGATATACAATGTTTTCGTAGTTCAACTTAGAGACCAACATTCGCCATTTCGTTCTATTCCCATATCACACGAACGATCTATCGATTATTTCATAACCCACGGTTTATTCTCCTCATTCAGAAACAGTTTTCACTTCAGATTGCCGGGGGAAAAGAAAAAAGACGAAAAAGCATCATCTATGGAAAGAAGTTAGATATAATTATTCAGGTTTAGATCCAACCAATTTTATTCAACTAAAATCTGCCTGGTAGATGTAAATTCAGCCTAGGTTCTTTCTTCTTGTTTTCTTTGTCTTTATTGTACCTCTTCCCATTATAAATATAAAAGTACAAAATAAAAAGTTAAACTTTGAACATTTCCCTCTAATATGTTTCACCTTATATGAAATCAGAACAAAAATAGAGGTCAGAGCCAGTTGAAATCTATCGAAATTATTCAGCTTTAGTCAGTACCAAGTTTTCATTTTTGAATATAAAAGTTATAAATTATTTATTGATTAACATCTAGCATAGAGGCTCCATAAGTCAATAAGAAGAAAATATGGTCAGAAAACGCTTAATTTTGACTTTTCATTATAGTATTACCTTTTTCAAGTCCCGTCGCGTTTAAGGAAATTAGAAAAACTAGAGGTTAGAGACAGTGGAAATCTATCAATATTAAACACTAACAACTTCTTATTTTATAAAATTTTAATTTTTGAACATAAAGAATATTAATGATTTTATGTTTAATCATTTAATAGACAATTAATATATGAACATCTAGCATAGAGACTCTATATATCATTAAGAAAAATATTCAGAAAAAACTTGTTTTTTGACATTCCATTTAATATTACTTTTTTATATACTAAGTCCCCTGAGAGTTTGATGATTCGTTTCAAACTAATTTACCTACTTAGATTCCCATGATGAAATCCTAAAATACAGAAGGCAACTTTCCTTACAAATAATCATAAAAATAATTATATGTTTTTGTTTGGTCCTATTAACCAAAGTGATTACTTTAATTTATTTTTTATTTTTGTGCAAAATATGGTTGAGTTGAAAAATTAATGTAACGAGCGGGACTCGAACACACAACCTCCGTGGTACTGATCCGGAGGTCGTGGGTTCGAGACCCGCTCGTGACTCTAATTTTTCAACTCAACTACACTTCGCATAAAACTAATAAATGTATTAACGTAAGAATAATATTACAATTACTTATAGCTTTCTACTGCGATTTACGGATAGTGGACTTTTTATAAGTTTATAACACATTGAACAGGAAATCACGACCAAAATTTGGTCGAACAGTGAAAAATCGTGGACTCCTGTACTGGTTTGAATATTTATCAATTACACCAATTTTTCTTTTCTCTCCTTACCTTAACCTTAACATAGTCTCAAAGGCTTGTTTAATTTTGTTTCTCTTAGTTTAAACTTAGTTCAATAAAATTGAAAATTTAAAAAATGCATAAAGGCATGATTTTCGTGTTGTAAACCTAAGCTATATGATTTTTTTTTTCAAAAATAATTATTGTACGTTATTCAGTGATTTTACTTGATAAATATTAGTTTAATTGCGGTCATAATTATCAGGGATTAAAATTAAATGTGTTTTTGCTGAACAACATTTTTTCACAAATTCCCCGGGTTTTTTTAAACGTCTACTTAACAATGCCGTAAGTAAACAATCTTGTTTTAGGTAAATTCCCTCGTATCGTGATATTTTTAACTGAAACTCCAAATTAATCGGCGTTTGCGAGTTGAGCCATTCCGTGTTGTATCCTCCCCGCGCATGTCAATTCGGGGGACACTCCGGACTGGTGAGGCACATCGCTACCCGCACCGGGCTATGCTTCATCCGCCGAGGATCGTTGTTCCGTTTCCAAAAATTGACGCTCACCCACTCGCCCAGGTATGCTTAAAGTAAAACATAAACAAAGTAGTTTTTGCCACATTCAAAACCCTGTGATAAATTAACTGGCCATTTTGTCGAACCTATTGAGCATAAGATGCTTCTTGTTTATGCTGTACTGCGGTGGCCGTTGTTTGGTTTTTCAATAGAAAAAGTCAGTTTTTTTTATTCCATCTAAGCCTGCTTAATAAAACATAATTTTTCATTAGTCAAGCCCTGTTTTTCCTCTTTCCAAAACGAATCTTCATAGATAAAACATTAGTTGTTTCTGTTTTAAAAGTAGAGATATAATGACAACAATAATTTATTGTAAGAACAAAATATGATACATACAGCAAAATTTAGCAATAATCCATACTCCTCTAGACCTAGGACTGTGAGGAGGAAGAACGCTTGAAAATATACAAACCACAACAATGCATAATGTTTATACTGTAGATATATATTTTTTTAGCTAATTTATTTGGAAAAAAGAAAATATCTATACGTAAAAAAAAAGTCTTAAACAATATTTCTTTAAATTTTCTTATTTGGGCGATCCCAAAGATAGACAACATAAAAAAATTCGTGTTTGTACTAGTGCCTTAGATCAGTTCTACATGGATAAAAAAATATAGTTAAATTGAAAATCCATGTTTTCTTTCATAATACAAATTAATTAATATCAATAAACTATTTTGAAAAACAAAGGAAGTTGCAGTAAAAACATAACCACAGTATAAAAAGAAGCATGCTCTCTTTTGGGATTTCAATATATTTTGAAGTCGTCTATTATATTTAGTGGTCTATTGACCAAATTACTTCTTTCAATTAATTTATCTTTTTATGTAAGGTTTTGGTTGAAATGAAAAAGTCAGTGTCACGAGCGGGATTCGAACCCACGACCTTCGGCTCAATACGCCGCTCCTGTAACCTTTTTTAGC